GTTCAAATCGTATGTCAACTTCCTGCTTGTCAGCGCATCTGTCCGTTTCATTAATTTAACAAATTTTTGTTGCATGTTTCCACAGCAACTATACTCGATCATGACAGGTGCTTCAATTTTCAGTACATACTCTGTTGAGGCATGCAGTATGGTGGGATCTATTTGTATTTGAATATAATGTCAAATTCCTTTTTTTCCATGCATATACACTTAACGTTTATTAACATGATATTGTATATTAACATCAAAACAGGGGTATTACAAGTGGGCATTAGCTCACACATTTCCTGCTCTGTACACATTATATAAACCTATTCGGATATTGTTTGCCTCTTGGTACATAGTGTCAGTGGGTGCCAAAAATATACATGTGTTCATATTTTTTCCGGCTGCAATATGTGCCTTCATGTACTGAATTTTCGATAAAGTTTATAATTATATAATTAAATTAGGTTTTAAAATAGTCTTTGCAATCAAATGTTTCATCCTTTTTCAACAAATTTCAACAAATATTTCGCCCCGTGGTGATCCGGGTTAGAATAGGTCCTCAGTACCCCCTTGTTTGTCGTGAAAGGCGACTAAATAGGGCGGTCCTTCGGATGAGACCGTATAAACCGAGGCCACGTGTCACAGCAGGTGTGGCATGATAAAGATCCCTCCCTGCTCAAAGGCCGTAAGTGCCGAGCATAGACCTAAATTTGCAGCCCTTCACCGGCAATTGTGACGTCTCCATATCAGTGAAATATTCTGGAGAGGGACGTTAAACAGTATACAATCGATCAACAAATATTTCAAAGGATCAGAAGAACTATATAGTATATACAGAATATTTAAGTGAGCTTATTTAATGAAAAAATGTATTGTAGAGAGATGACCATAGGCTTTTATATACTCTCTACTTATTTTTTACAAAAGGTACCTGGTTCTCAATTTCAGGCACCCTGGTTTATGCTCGTATTTACATGATACATGTAGATCACTCATACGCCTACATTATCTTGAACTAGTTGGCTTCAAGGATATCTTTTTCTGATAAAACATTGCTGAAGTCTCCTAAAAGGACTTGTAATATACGCCTTTATTCATCGATAATTCTTCGACTCATTAAATACAAAGCATAAGATACCTTATCATCTGGTTTGCCTTTACGGACATTTTTTTTCTCATATAAAAATTAAATAATCTGCGAATGAAAAATAAATGGTAACAATTTTAAAGAAAATGTACTTTTAAGGAACTTCTTATACTAAAGTTATGGTAGCTTAACTTTTTGATCCATCAATGTAATTTATAAGTGTGTACAATTAAACTAGATTTCAAACCTCGAAATGAAAAGATAAAATCCAGAGCAACTTGGAGGGAAATCCAAACGAAGGAAAAACAATTAAATCGTGGAATGAGAAATGTTAGTCTCTATGTAAGGCATTAAATCATTGTTTTAGTAATGTAAATAATATATAGTTTACATTGTTTATGCAAACGCCAATGAACTTATAAAATTAAAAGTAATGAAAATTGAATAATCGTTATGATGTAACGATTCATTGGGCAATCCCCCCATACCCAAAATTTGTTGTCAAGTAGAACTCGCTGCACAAGAGGCAAGCCTATCAAGTTATAAAATAGAAATTCTTTTGGTTAATTAACAAAAGGTCCATGGGCCACAGTGCTTACCTGATAAACTGTAAAGAGTTAAACTATGGAGAGGACTTTCATATATAGGCACTGCCTTCTGTCCAATATATAATAAAATATTGCTTAAACTAAATTGTTCATGCTGTTTTCCTCCAGATTTTTCCTCTTGTAACTTGTAATAACTATTGATGCATCACCTATACCTTAGAGTCATAATGCTGAAATTTAGAATAAACACTAACCCATGATATTTCCATGTAAGTTGCAGCTTTTCTGACCAAGTGACTCTTTATGACCATCGGAAATTAGCGCAGCACGAACCCGATTTTAGTTGAACGAATGTGAAAAATTCAAAGTTCCATAATTCTAACAAAAATCAATGAAGCGATGCGAAATTCAAACTTGATATTTAACTCACCAAGATACACTCACATACAAAATTCAGCTCAATATCTGCAAGCGTTAAGAAAAAAGTGCGGAAAACCAAGTGGGACAGACTGACAGACAGAGGGGGGCAGACAGACGGAGAGGAAACCTATAGTCACCTCCTGGATTGCTATATATTTTGACCTATTTCAACTATAAATGATTAAAACATACGTATAGTATATTTCTGAAGTATAACAAAAACCAGAGGTCTCTGTCGAGACTGAAGCTCTACTGGTTTGTACTTATAGCAAAGGAAGAGAAAAGAACTTAAGCAGTTGGAAATTGAAACTTTTCAACAGCAATAAATAGTATAATGATCCTTGATTAAGTCTCTTTATGTTCTTAGTGCAGTCTACTTGCATGCCACATTTATATTATAATCAGACTAAAATTGTATTTGGAGTAGCATTTTGAAAGAATTTCACAGAAATTTCTATTTTTAGTAACCACGGCAACACCGTTCATCGAAATCAAAAACCGATACACAGAATTATGTATCTTAGTGTAGTCTACTTGTGTGCCAAGTTATATTGAAATCAGACTAAAACTGTAGGAGGAGTAGCATTTTGAAAGAATTTCACAGAAATTTCTATTTTTAGTAACCACGGCAACACCGTTCATCGAAATCAAAAACCGATACACAGAATTATGTATCTTAGTGTAGTCTACTTGTGTGCCAAGTTATATTGAAATCAGACCAAAACTGTAGGAGGAGTAGCATTTTGAAAAATTGTTTACAGACAGACAGACGGACAGACAGACAGACGGACGGACGACGGACGCATTACTATCGCATAAGCTCTTCTGGTCTCTGACCAGTAGAGCTAATTAGAAACTTTTTATATTAATGTTTCAGATTCCCTCTTTCGGCAACCACCGAAAAAAAATCGTATTAGTAGCCTCAAGTGTAGCAAATACACACAAACACGCCTGGATTGCTATATATATTGACCCTTTTCAACTGTAAATGATTAAAACATACGTATAGTATATCTCTGAAGTATAAAAAAATTATAAACTTTTTATATTAATGTTTCAGATTCCCTCTTTCGGCAACCACCCTTATTTATTTTAATTAAGAGGTAAATCAACGAATGTGCTAAATCGGCTAAATTATTTTAGGAAAATTAAAGTGAGGAGAAGAAGAAAATTGTTCACGGAAATATTATCCTTAGATATCAGACTTGAATAGTTTACACCAAATTTTTTCATTTGATGACGTCATAATTAAAAATCTAAGAAGGTATGGTTTCCATACAAATTTTGCCCTGTGATTTTCTAAAAAATGGAACTGGTGTAAAAGTTGAAAACTCATGCTTTTTAAATAATTGAATTTCAATGCAGAAAATTCATACAAGTCATTTTTAGCTCTACTGGTCAGAGACCAGAAGAGCTTATGCGATAGTAATGCGTCCGTCGTCCGTCCGTCTGTCTGTCTGTCTGTAAACAATTTTTCAAAATGCTACTCCTCCTACAGTTTTGGTCCATTTTCAATATAATTTGGCACACAAGTAGACTACACTAAGGTACATAATTCTGTGCATCGGTTTTAGATTTCGATGAACGGTTTTGCCTTGTTACTAAAAATAGAAATTTCTGTGAAATTCTTTCAAAATGCTACTCCTCCTACAGTTTTGGTCCGATTTCAATATAACTTTGCACACAAGTAGACTACACTAAGATACATAATTCTGTGCATCGGTTTTTGATTTCGATGAACGGTTTTGCCATGTTACTAAAAATAGAAATTTCTTTGAGATTCTTTCAAAATGCTACTTCTTCTACAGTTTTGGTCCGATTTCAATATAACTTGGCACACAAGTAGACTACACTAAGATACATAATTCTGTGCATCAGTTTTTGATTTTAATGAATGGTGTTGCCATGGTTACTAAAAATAGAAATTTCTGTGAAATTCTTTCAAAATGCTACTCCTCCTACAGTTTTGGTCCAATTTCAGTACATGTATAACTTGGCACACAAGTAGACTATACTAAGATACATAATTCTGTGCATCAGTTTTTATTTTGATGAGCGGCAAAAATCATTTTTCTATTTATTGCTGTTTTAAAGTTTCAAGTCCCAACTGCTACTTATCTCTTCCTTTGTTTTAAGTATAAACCAGTAGAGCTACAGTCTCGACAGAGACTTCTGGTTTCTCACATGTGTATTTAAATGCTTATTATGACGTCATAAACATGTGTATTTTCCCGTATTTTCTTAAACAGTTGCAGAAGACATCCATCTTCAATGGAATTTCCTTTCAGATAACATTGTCCACAGGCATCGCCCACAAAGATCTTGATATATGTGATTTGTTATTGAATTTCGCACAAAATATCAAAAAATTAACGTGGGCGACGGCTGTGGACACTATTTTCTAAAGGAAAATCACCCTTGAAATGTGCCATTTTGAGGCTTTTTCTGTTGAAAATAGAAAAATGCTTCACATTTATGACGCCATATTTGCAGAATGGTAAACCTTCATGCCATATTCTTTTCTGAGTTATGACAGTCATTTATTTAACTAATATTTAAGCCAGTTTCAAAACTTTTTGATGTCATTACAATTTTAGGGCACAATAAAGCTAAAAAAACCATACCTTCTTCTTTAAGGAACTTGGAAATAATTTCAAAATATCTAAGCAATTAGACATTTAAATATCTATGCAATTAGATAAAGTCAATGTTTTATGGTGTTATTTTTAAGATTTTAGATAAAGAATTGTTAGAGCGCACTGTCAAATTTATAATGTATATATAATATTATCTTATCACAAGTATTTATATTGAAGTAAAAGCAGTTTCAACGTGAACAGACCAGATTCTACTTAATATATATACATTTGAGATTTCCTTCTGTACATTTATTTTATCTTTGACTACTATTATAATCAAAGATAAGAACAAGGTAAAAACCATAACAAACTTTAGGTATGATTTTTATACATGCAGGAGAGGGTTGGATGTTTTACGGAAACCATTATTACTTAAATATAAGAAGTAATGCCACATGGCATAATGCCAAGGTAAGAATAATTGGGATGCCTGACATAAATAAATGCATGTGACGTGCATTTATTTATGTCAGGCATGTCGTGCCTCAAAAAGAAAGCTTTTTAAAATATTCCATCCATCAGTCTAGTGGCAAAAAATAATACACCTTGACTATTTCAGTTAGCATGTGAAAATATAGGGGCTCACTTGGTTACAATAGAAACGGAGGAAGAGAACACGTGGTTAACAGAAACGTTTGTGCCAGTCTGGGATCACGGTAAGTTTATCACGATATAATTAATAGTTCCTATCTCGCTTGTAAAGTCCCAGAATGTTCTTCTTTCCCATTTTTTCCGTTCGCTCACCGTTTCGTTTTGCAGGCGTTCTTCGTTCATTCAGACTGCGTTCACCGTTTGCTCTCCGTTCACAGTTTTGCGTTCACCGTTTACAAAACTTTTAGCGTTCGCTCATCGTTTCGTTCACTTTGCGTTAGTGTTCACATCATTCAGTCTTTACTGTTATTCGGAACTACGAAGTTCTTTTAATCTCAAATTAAACAATTGTGTGTAAAATTCCTTCTTTCACACAAGTTGTAATAAATAATGCGTCTATTGTCATCCGCACAAAGAAGATAGGCCGATAAAGGTTAACGAAGTGCTTATAGTGCGACCGATATGAAGTGAAAAATTTAATCACTATTATATCCATTTTTTTTATATTTCATCTGATACTGTAAAAGCACATATTTTCTTTGAGTCAAATTTTTGTGGTGTGAGGAAAATTGGTTCGTGGGGATTTGACTTCATGGATGTAGAATTGATGAATACTCGTGTATGTCACATTTTACATTTCGTGGTGCTCATGAATTCGTGGGTTTCGTCATACCTCGAAAACAACGAAAATTAATCTCCTAGAAAATTTTTGATTTCACAGTATTAAAATATATTTAATGTAAAATCTCTACAATTTACAAAAATCTCACAAAGACTTAAAATATGTGCATATGAAAAAGCATTCAAACACTAAAAAGAACAAAAACGGTCATTTTCTCATACTTGATTTTTTTTCAATATGTGTGAGTCTTCCCTCCATTTTTATTTTTGAAGATAATCCTTATATTTTGCAATATAAATATGTTTTAGTTAACAAAAACATGGAGCGAAGACCCACTATACCTTAAAAATACATTTTTATGACAAAACATATGCATCTTTCCGAGAAATACTTTAAGTCTATTAAGTCAAGGGTAAAGCATGAATTTAATACTCAAAATCATCATGAAACATGTAGCAGAGTGATTATTAGCTTGTTAGTTTCAAAGCAGTATGATGTGTCCTATTTTTATTGCTAGGGGTTCAAATCTCATGAATACGTTATAAAAATATTAAATGGTATTTTTTCTCTAAAAAAAGAATTTTTTTCTCATAATTTTATAAATTTTAATAATGAGATTTTATTTTAAATACTCAATTCACATATTGAATATGATTCCTAATATCCGACCCTGAAGGCAAGTTTGCAATAAAATATACACATTTTTGGTTTTAAAAAACTTGGGGGGAAGCCAAGGGTCACATCGCAAACATAATTTAAATGTCCCGATATATCATGAGCCATGTAGCCTTGTGATTAGCTCGTTAGTCTCAAAGCATTATGGTACGTGAGATTTTTGTTGCTTGGGTTCTAATCCCACAAATACAATCTGATATATTCATTAAAGAAAATGTTTTACAAGATCTTTTTTTCTCCCAGAAAAGTTTTTTTTTCTCATCAGTTCAATAACGTCAATTAATGAGAAAGTTCAAGTAACATGAGTAAATAATCAATTTACATATTGAATATGATTTCTTTATAAATACCCGACGCTATAGGCATTTTGCCCGCCTTGTTCCCCCATCTTCTTTGTACAAGCTGCACAATAAAATCACTCACTGATCAATAACCTTTAGTACCACTGGCAAATGTTTGCGTCCCCATATGAGTGAAATATCCTCGAGAGGGACGATAAACAACATTATCAATCAATCATTTTATTTTAAAACTTTCAGCGGAATGTAGCTCTTGGTGGCATTGCTGTTCACACTGGATAGGTGCGAACGATATTGAACAGGAGGGGAGATTTGTCTGGACAGAAAACAACAATAACGTCACTTCCTACTCCAACTGGTACCCAGGTGAACCAGATGACAACTCAGGACAGCACTGTGTTGATCTGTGTCGTCATGGATTTTGGGAAGATGCCTCCTGTAATAAAATAACTTCATATATTTGTGAAATGGATTAAAATGAACAAGTAGCGTTAATAGTTGGTATGTCAGCAATTGTCGGAAAAAAGGAAAAAAACATAGAGAATGTTTTTATACATTTGTGAAACAGATTAAAATTTCATAAATTGTGCAAATACCCGGTAGTTGTGTTGTTAACAATTATCAGATAAACCATGTTCAGTGTTTTTAAACATTATAGTGAAGTATGTGGAGATAACGAACAGTATTCAATATCAAAGTCCGTTTGATATCAAAATTTCTTTGATGTCAAATTCAGAGTACTTTTGTGATCAACCAGAGTGTCTTTTAACAAAATAATTTTGCAAATGACCAATGACCAGGTCAGTAAATTTACATATGTACGAGTTTCATTTTTATTGAAAAAGCAGCTGTTAATGACATCAAAAATCGTGGGGAATGGTTGTGTATAAAGTTGAAAAGTCGTAATTTTTTCAAGTGTTGATTTTGGTAAAATCTTTTGATTTCAAATTGTCCAAAAGTTCTTTGGATTTTTAGTATCCACATCTGATTCAAACCATCTCTTGAATATGTTATTAAAAAAATTAATTGATCAAAAGATGGATTTTTTTTGTTGTTTTCACATCTCGTCTACGAATTTTCAACTCTTATTTATTTATTTCAACTCTAAGGTTCTACCTCAGAAATCTCACATAACCCTCAAGTCACCGGCACTAAAAACATCCGAGGGATTATCCGGAGGATATAATCAAATCTGGAAGGATATCTTGATATCAAACTGTAATCCTTCCTTAAAAAAAATTAAACAGGTTCCGCCGCTATCAACACCCCTGAACTCAATACTCAGCCTAATCTCTGAAGTTTTCTCTATAAATTCCATACCGTCACCCTGAAGTCACTGTCATCACGCTAAAATGAGTTTTACTCATCAGAATTCTTTTCGTCTTTTTTGACTTGGATAAAACAGACTAAAATCCTCAAGAAGGCAAGCCTTTCCTCCTCAGTTGCAGATTTTGGTTTAAGTGCATTTTCTGGCTAAGGGTGTACGGTCGGTAGATGATGTTCTGTGACCCAGGTCATCAACGACATTCCGGCATGATATTTGTCATGTTTTCAAAGGACCAAATATCCAGAACAACAAAACAGCCATGTTAAAAGATCGCAAAATACTACTCACTCAGTGTCTTCTTTCTGGCCTCAGTTTTAGTTATGGTTATAATTTATTTGCCGAAAACTGTCCATTAAGTCAGATATTAGATGATCCGAGGGGCGTTAGCGCCGCGGAGAGTTTGATATCTTACATAATGGTCAGTTAGAGTCATTCATCGTCAGTCATTTTAACACTGTCGAACATTTTCATTGTTAACTTAATGTTCAACCAAAGGTAAGGTCTCATTCTGTTTGGATGACTACCTGGCACTGTTCAACAAGATAGGTCAGAGTTTTGGTTTTTCTCTGTCTTCATAAATAGTGTAGTGATTTTGTATCGATGCCGGGCTCGGTGTCGGGTTCGGAGTACGAATGTTTTGTAATAATATACGTCATAAGTCAGTTCTAATAAAAGTTTTTAAAGTATCGGACGTCTGTTTGATTCCTTGGCAGCTCGGAACTCGTGGTGCACTTAGGACCCACACCAGAAGCACCACACTGGTGTCAGAAGTGTCGTAAATTTATGCAACTAAGTTTTTGCGTAAATCTACACTTGTTTTATTAAATTGTACAGTAGGTTTTAATTCCGACAACGTGCGTTTCAAAGAAGTATAGTGTTTCTGTATATTATCTACTGTTACTCTAGTGATGGCGGAACAGAGAAAACAATATGGTAAAATAATCCGCTATTTATTAGTGCCCGCAATTATAACATGCAATATACAAATAACAATATTTACATTTGCAAATGTTTTACCTTATATAACACTACTGAAAGCAATGCGTATCTATAACTGTATAAATACAGGTACGGGGTCAAGAGGTCATAAATGTGCGTAAAGATAAACGTTCGACGTAATTTCTCTGTGACGTCATAAAGGGTCGACGCGCGTTCAGTGGATTACATACATGCCGTTGGGTTTGAAAAATAACGCATTTCACACGTTAAAAGTCACAATAAGGCAAATCTAAAGTATGAATAAGTCACAAATGTAAATATAAGTAATAAGGTATCATTTTAAAACATCTATCGGGCTATAAATACAGGTCGGTACGAGATTAAATTCATCATAAAGCCCTTCGGGCTTTATGGAATTTAATCTCGTGACCGACCCGTATTTATATCCCGATAGATGTTTAAAAATGATACCTTATTTCTGAAATAATGACGGAGCTAACAGAGACACGTCCGTTCTCTGCAGAAAGAGAGAGAGGATAGGTATACGTCACGACAGGTGCTGTGACGTATACCATGTGATCGGAGGTAGCAGGGTAATTCGTGCCCAGTACCCCCAGGACCACCATATTCCTCCCATTTTGAAAAAAGGGCGTCCCAGCCCGTTACAATGGGACAAACTATTATATACAATCCAGCTAAAATTAAAATAGCTGCACATGACCCCGCATCCCTGCGGGGACATAATTCCCCAAACTAATCGCGACCAAGATCGACGGGACTGCACTGAGGGCAAATATACTGAGGCACTGTCTTAGTATAATCCTCACTTATCCCCATACACCCAGGATGAAACCAGTCCCGGCAGTTGTCGCACTACACCATCATCCCCTTGGGAACAGAAAACAGTCAGTAAATGTTTTGTGATACCTTTCATCTAAATATTTATTTTGATGTACATGTTTCTTGTACGTCCGTCACTGCTAAACATCAACAAATGCAAATTAGATTAAGCTCCACCAATTGTATGATGTACATGTAAGCGGTCCAACATCTCATCAACTGGTCCAACATCTCACTCAGTGGTTTAACATCAATTGTTTTATGCCCGCTCAGCAAAACATTAGACATGTTCGACTTTTTTCATATAGATTTGTATAGTCAATGTACAGAAATACTGAAAATAGCACTAATTTTAATATTAAGAAATACCATATATATAGAAATCATTGCAATGCATAATTATTGTGTATTATTGTGAAAATTATATTATTGTATGATTTTTGTCTTACACAGCAAAACAATATGGTTCATACACAAATCATGCACTTCATAAAAGAAAATGGCATCAAGAAACAGATCAATTCATGGAAATTTATGTCAATACAGGATAAAGTAGGATCAGCAAAAGAATGGCCATTGTCTACAAGACGACTGTTGTGGGACTCCGTGTTTAACACACTTTCAACTATCATTTGTGTTTTTGTTGGTCGAGTTAATGAGATTGGCCAGAGATGCGTCGGCCTTAAACCACTTCAGCGCACTCTTAGTCAATGTTAAATAAAAGATGAAGTATTTTAAGACTAGTTTTCAATTCCAAACCATGAATTACATTTTAGTACTCGTTTGAAGACTATTCTCCAATGAGAGGAATTATAATCTGTACGCCTGGAATGTAACTGCGAGGCGCTATGAATACCTTGACGGAAAAGTAAGAAGAAATGACATTTGTGCCGAAACCTGCATAATTTACAAATTAAATTATTAGCAAACTTTTAACATGCTTTTTTTCTTGCATGACGTCAAAACCCCGCCTTAAACTTTTAATATTCAATTATTTTAATTCCATTGTAATTGGCCACCCCCTTATGTTATAAAATGACCTCCAGAGTCGTCTTCAGTGTGCTCTTCACTTGTCGGATACGAGGAAGAGTGGCGTGAGCTACCGCGAGAGACACATTGTTGACACTCTCTATAACCCCAGCAGCTTTTGTTAACCCTTGGAACTTTTTCCAACTTTTTCAAGGCCTGACAATGAGTTTATGAATGGTGTAGGCAAAACAATCTGCTGGTGACGTCTTTTGAGTGTACTGTAGAAAAATATGATGGATTCACGACATTTGCTACTTTATCAGGTGCTCCCGGTAGGGGTCATTTTTCGCTGCTCCCTGAATAGGCTCCACATAAAGTCTTCGGGAACGTATTCATTTTTTGATAGAAGCAACCTGGACATTGTCTTTTTCATAAAAAAATACTAGAGAGAAACAGTCTGGGCAAGTGTTCCCGCTTTACGTGGACTTCATATACCACTACTGGGCGTCTTTCATCCGAAAATATTCAAGGAACAGATCCACAACACCCTCCGCCATCCCAAATTTCAGGGCACAGTGGAAATCGACGAGTCGCTTTTTGCAAGGCGCGTCAAACATAACGGCACCCCAAATCGTCGTATGTAGGTGCCACCTCTCCTCAAACTAGTTTATTCCAGCATTTTTTAAAAAAGCCCTTAAAAGTGTAAAGTTTTCATTTTTCGTTTTTTAGGCAAACTTTGTTACTGCAGGAATTCTTATTTTTAAAGGTATGGATATTTGGCATGGTTGAACGGGATACCAACAGTATTGTCCTCTATCACATGTCAGACAGAAGTGAGGAGACCCTTCTTCCAATTATCGAGAGAGACATAAATCATATAGAAAGGTGACAAGATTTATAGCGACAATTGGTCGGCATACTGCCCTCTGAATGATCCCGGTTACAAGCACTTCACAGTTCTTCAAAAATTTGCTTTCAAAAAGTCCTACATAAACAATCCAACAAACGAAGAGGTCCAAAACCACACAAACAGGATCACCGGAGCATTGAAGCATGCCAAAGACAATTTCAGATGGATGGCCGGAACGAAAATAACGCAATTTAAGGGCTCTCTAGCCGATGTCATGTGGAGGGCAGATGTCAGATCCAACATTAACAACGGATTCTTCGGTCAATTGAAGTCTATTTACACCCTCGATGCACCGCTAAAGTACAACTATACAAGGTCACTGACATGTGGACAGGTTTTGCAGAGGCATCAGAGTCACACGTCATTTCCTTAGAAAGTATGCCTGGTATGTTTTACAATATTTGTAAAAGACATATTTTTGCATATCTTTCGTTTTAACTATTCATTGCACCGTTTTCTTCTGTTTTTAGTTAACACAGTTGCAGAGACGG